TTTAATAAATGTTTTGTTCTGATATACAAGTTGTTCGGATTTTTTCATCTAAAAAAAGCAATATTAATTTCTTGACAACCTAATACATATAGAAACTAAAACATAAAATGATCTAAAAAGTGGAATTCAAACCAGCCCTCATAAATGTTCAAAGTATTATATACATAGCTAAGACAACAATATTAGGTCTTTCTTGTTGCTTAGCGATACAGAAGAATGGAGCATTACCAAAAGATAACTGACTTTTATATATGTATATATGAACTAGGTTTAAGAAGTTAAAAGGCTATCTATTATTTATATAATTTTGATGAGTAAGTCTGCAAGTCAATAAACTGTTTGAACCAGTCATGACATTTTACTATTACAAAAAGTGGAGATAAACTGATTGAAAAAAATTAAGGAATAATCAGTTTTTTTCTCTAGTCTACTCATAACTAGGAATACTATTCAAACAACCAATGAACAAATCTAAACAAAAATAACTCCTCTACAAAGTACCATATTTGTGTGGCCAAATTTGACAGTCAATAGATACATATCTGAATAAATTGCCCTTGGCTGAACATAACTTAAAAACTGGAATCTACACATAATTTTAGACAAAAGTCAAAGAAGCTATCTATAACAAATTATACCATCCTGAACTCAACAAATACAATGGCTTCTAGTTCAGCCACCTATAGACAATCACCCTCAACAATCTGAAGACACGATGCCACAAAAGAATCTGCCAATCACCACATCCACTCAACTTCCACAGCTTGGAGTTTTACTACAAGGCTGTGCTTACCTTTATGAGACACTACACAAGTACCTACACTGATTTGAAGAAAGCCTCGGTATAGAATCTAAAATGTCATCTCTTTGTCATTCGACAAGGAGTTGCTTTCAGTTAAAGTTCTCAAACCAACTACATTTATAAGGTATAATCAAAGTTTTATCTAGTATAACCCCTAACAAGGAAGAACTAATGTTATAAGGGATTATCAAAGTTTTCTCTAGTCTAGCCATAACATGGAACAACTACTGTTATGAGGAACAATTAGTTTTCTCTAGTCTAGCCATAATACAGTACAACTACTGCTATAAGGGATAACCAAAGTTTTCTCTAGTCTAGCCGTAACAAGTGACAACTACTGTTATAAGGAATAATTAAAGTTTTCTCTAGTCTAACCCTAACAAGGAACAACTACTGTTATAAGGGATAATTAGTTTTCTCTAGTGTAACCCTAACAAGGAACAACTACTGTTATAAGGGATTATCAAAGTTTTCTCTAGTCTAACCCTAACAAGGAACAACTACTGTTATAAGGGATAATTAGTTTTCTCTAGTGTAACCCTAACAAGGAACAACTACTGTTATAAGGGATAATTAGTTTTCTCTAGTGTAACCCTAACAAGGAACAACTACTGTTATAAGGGATTATCAAAGTTTTCTCTAGTGTAACCCTAACAAGGAACAGCTACTGTTATAAGGGATAATTAAAGTTTTCTCTAGTCTAACCATAACAAGGAACAACTACTGTTATAAGGGATGACTAGTTTTCTCTAGTGTAACCCTAACAAGGAACAACTACTGTTATAAGGGATAATTAAAGTTTTCTCTAGTCTAACCCTAACAAGGAACAACTATATTTATAAGGAATAATTAAAGTTTTCTCTAGTCTAACCATAACAAGTAACAACTACTGTTATAAGAGATAATTAGTTTTCTCTAGTGTAACCCTAACAAGGAACAACTACTGTTATAAGGGATAATTAAAGTTTTCTCTAGTCTAGCTGTAACATGGAAATATTACCACAAATGTTTATTTAGTTCTACAGACTTTTCATCCTAATAAATGATCAGAAAACATTTGTTAATAAGCAGTATGATCACCTTAAACACTAATTCAAGGCTTAGAATGGTGTGGCAAATTTAAAATGAGTGGATCAATAAGTTATACTCCACCAGCATTGCCTGCAATTTGTCAACACTGCTTAAAAGTGGATCATGTGCTACCAAGACCACTGACCAAATTCATCTGGTCAGTGGTAGTAAGAATGCATTTCTATATCATACCATATACAGCTGTGCACAGTGAGGGTTCTTGTTGTCATTCATAATAAAAAGAGCTCTGACCAAATTCATCTGGTCAGTGGTAGTAAGAATGCATTTCTATATCATACCATATACAGCTGTGCACAGTGAGGGTTCTTGTTGTCATTCATAATAAAAAGAGCTCTGACCAAATTCATCTAATCAGTGGTAGTAAGAATGCATTTTTATATACACTATATAGCATTCATTTCACCAGGTGGTAGCACGTAAAGGTCAGTACGATGAAATCAGCATGTCATCATTACTATATGCATGTCATTCCTTACATTGGAATAGGATCTGGTCTCAGACAGTCTCTAAAATAAATGGGTACACATTTATACCTAGCTGCAATATGAAATTTGGTTCATCTGTAAACAAAACTTACATCTACATATCATTCAACCAATCTGCATGTTCTTGACAATACTGAAGACGGGCTATAGTTATGAATTACGGAAACCTATACCATTAGCCACAAAGGCCAGTCATTAAAAAGCCTGTTTATTTATTATGCAGTTGCACATCTGAACTGTTGATTCACATGGGCATTCATATTGTAGAGATGTCAACGATGAAATATCCAGTCCAGGTCTCTGACCGATTGTATTAGTGGTCTGAAAAATAATCTACCTACTGCTAATTACAGTTTGTGAAAGTTACAGCTATTCTATGGCATCTTGTATTTGACCAACTTCTAACAAAATATATTATTCTCAGCATCATGGGAACATCCAAATGGTTTGGTTTCTTGTATATTTCACTATGAATTTAGATCTCATTACATACTACTATTGTTCAAACTGGTGACTAAGAACACACCGTGTTTCCCTCAATTTTATCGCATACATATAAAATTCAGTTGTCTTTTGGTAATACTCCATTTGTCTGTGTTGCTTAGCAAGAAAAATATGACCTGATATTGTTGTCTTAAGCACGTACATAATACTTCAAACTTTCACGTGACCTGGCTTGAATTCCACTTTTTAAAGATTGCTTTACGTTTTAGTTTATGCACATAACTAGCTTGATGTGGACATTTCGAATTCCTTAAAATTTTTTTTAAAATATCTAAGTTAGAGGTTAGTGACCATAAATCATGTTTTTATTAGATTTTTGTGAAGTATTTCAGTTTTGTTATTACTTGGATAAAACATCCTTTTTCTTTCATTCTCCCAAATGTACTGACATTATTCTTAACTTATGATGGTACCTGAAATAAATTTTTAGGTTTAAACTTTGTGATAGAATTTCTATCATAATCCTTAGGTCTATTTGTTTTAGGTGCTTCATCATTATGTATTTAGTAAGGATTGTGAATTGAAGAAAATACAACAACCATAATTTTTAGGATATGTAACATAATTAGAAAAATAAATTCTGCAAGGTCAGAGGTGAGGTTACAAAACTCCAAACTGTGATTTTTTGATGGGTTGGGCAAGATTAGTATACAAATAATCAGTCATTTGATACTTGTTTCAAATGATGATGGAATCAAAGGTGATATAGTTTTAAACAGTACCTTTATTATATCTAAAATATAGATTATATCTATACAGAGATGTAGTAATTATAGCACATATTGTTACTTGGGTACCATGGGGGTGGGTCAGGAGATTTCTCTCATCCAAACATAGCTTATGCCATGAAACTTGAAGTCAGTGAAGTGTTACTTAAAATATAGAAAACTTTGATTATATCTATACAGAGATGTAGTAATTATAGCACATATTGTTACTTGGGTACCATGGGGGTGGGTCAGGAGATTTCTCTCATCCAAACATAGCTTATGCCATGAAACTTGAAGTCAGTGAAGTGTTACTTAAAGTACTACTTGGTTACGTGGAAGCACACAAGTTACTGAACGAGTGAATTTTAGTTATAATTTATAGAAATGTTTTATAACCACTTCACTATGTCAAGTTTATCTGTGTGTGTGTGTGTGTGTATGAAATTATTTTAATGGTATAACAAATTATTATAGCATACTGTCATCTAATGGACACCAGCTTCGGTATTTTTTCATATACTTGCCACATTTGTTTGATGTTTACCAAATGTTAAATTAAGTAATTTAAAATACATTAGAGAAACATTTCTACAAAATTCTCTACCAATGGCCATTATTTGCAACTCTGATGTTGTGCAGGGTCAAATTTGGAATATGAATTACACCTATTTGAATCCACAAAATATGTGCAAAGCTAAGAATGTTTTTTATGATTATGGTCAAAAAAGAAGAATAACAGTGAAGATACCCAACTGATGAATGACTGCATTCTGATCAGTGTTGTAAGTTAACTTTCAATGCTTTAATTTAAACACTAGATAGAAGGCACAACATTAAAATTGAGAAATGTTGACTAATATTTAGATATGGGTATATCAATTATAAATATGACTTATTTCAGTGAATAAGAATTCAGTGTTCCGTGTGCAAATGGTAAAGGAGGTTGATCGAGTAAAGGTACTTTGTAAGAGTTTGGCTCCTGTAAGCTAATCAATAAATTAGTCAACATTTGTTATCAATCAAGGAACTTTCTGTTAAATGTTATTAGCATATTAGGTCTACAGAATTAAAGTTCAAAAGTTTGTTTGAAAATATAGGTCTACAACTTGCATCAAAATAAATTTAGCCTATAGCAAATTTAATTCAATTAATTCTTTAGCATTATGTGGACTAGATTTGGAATTATTTTTATTAAATTAACCAATAGAACACATCAAAACAATAGGATTGTGTTTTATAACCTTAATGCTAGTTAGATTAGTATATAAAATTAGTTACATAATTTACTCAGTTCACTTCTTACCTATATAGCTAATTTTCTTTCACAAGAAGTTTAATGATAATCACACACCTTTATCCTTCTTAACAAACACTGATGAAGACTCTAAACAATATGGTATGCTAACCTGCCTTTTGAGACTGTTTTCTAGTTAAATAAGCTCACCTGTAGTTTCATTTGTACAGGATCAGACCTTTCTGCAGCAGTATCTGAAATAACAGTAATATTCTTCTGGCAAATGTTTCCTGTATTTGTTGATGGGTTTGTTAGTCGAATTTCTGAATCTCCTACAGTATTTAGCACTTCCCCATCATGGGATGTGTATATAATTCTTACTTTCTCACTTTTGGAAGCCCTCCGAGATAAAATGTACTTCATTACCTTATCATATTCTTGCTGTGCTTGATGATAGGCAGCAACTTGTACAGGAGAAAGCACCTCTTCAAAGCACTCCATATAAAGCTCATTTTGTCCTGTATACGAGTACCCTACTCTAATACTACTCTTACCAGATGAGCTTTTCTGTGCTACTTTAGGTGCACCATTTTTAAGCAGTGCCATGTGAAATTCTTGAGAGAGCTTCATTCTCATTGAAATGGAGGAATCTCTTCTGGGTTCTGGTGACTGGCTCCTTACTCCTTCAACAAGTCCATACTCCTTTACAGTTCGTTGGATTTTTTCAGCTGCAAGAAGAGCTGCCTTTCGTGATGCTCTTCTAACTGGTTTCTATGCAAAATGAATGAAAAAAGCTCAGAGGTTCTACTATGCTAAATGAAATATTTAATTATTCTTTAATTAAATTTAATCTTCTCTCACACTTTCTAAAAATAAAGACCAATGCTAAATTACACGAGACTCCCAATGTAACCTGAAGAACTGGTAATTTTTAATAACATATTCACATTACTCTTCAATGTCAAGTAAAAAATAACTAACTGTAATCATACAATAGTAAAGCTGGAAAATTTAATGAATTAATCAAAATATTTGATTATCTATGAGCAACAATTACATCAATGAGTATCAAATTAATCAATAAATCAAAATTATGACTAAATTGATTAATGTCACAAAAATAACCATCTAATCAAAATTAAGGTTTCCAATCATTCCAACTAGATAAGTAATCAAAATTTTAAGCACACAGCTACATAATGGTTCATCTGTGTTCTGCCCACTGCAGATATCAAAATCCTATTTTGGAGTTATAAGTTTTTGTTTTTTTTACTTCAAGTTTGTGATTCAAGGGTTTGAGGTTTAATTCCCCATTACCAACAAACTAGTAAAGATATATGCCCTGTGTTACTAATTTTGTACAGCTGACTAGAGAGAAGACAACTGGCTGGCATCACCCTCTGCCAACTTTTGGATAATTAACTTTTTTTTTTTTGCTCATAAGGGAGAAATGAGTACCATTGTTTTAGCAAAACTGTTCTAACTAATTACCGGACCTGTAGATTAATTGATTAGCAAATACCACTAACCACTTAGCTTTATACAACAGTAAACAAAATGTAATTTTCACTGCACAAATAAAGTCTTGCAAAATTCTCTAGGCATATAGTGTAAATATTTCCATTTAATTCTAATAAGCTTCTTTCAGTAGATGTGACAATCACGGGAAAGGATAGGAATCTCCTTAGAAATATGTATATATTTGGATACAACTCTAACATTTTTTTTTCCTGATAATTCAAGGATTAAAAGAAGCTCTTCACATAATTCCACATCATCTGCATCAAAAGAATATTTGTCTTGAAGCACAAACTGAAGGTCCTGATTATGTTTAAACATAAATATTTTTCCCCACAATATTGAATATTTAATGTTAAAAGGAAATCATAAATCTTCATTATAAGACTGGAAAAGTTAAAATCACTTTTCCGTTATGATTAAATTCTAAAAGATTCCTAAGGATCTACTACTGGATCATTTGTACAAAGGAAAACTTAAAATATAAATGTAAGAACATAAGTATCCAAATTCCTCAGATTTCCTAAGAAAAAGAACCATATCCCAGTTATACTGCAAAAATACATATGAAGAAATGTCTTCCAACAAAGATGTTTGAGCTGTTGAAATGCAAATTCATTTTAAGAGATCCAAAATTCACATGGACACTGATGTCAACCCCTACAAATGTGGCTACAGTTGCAGAAAAAATAATTTTATTCTCTTTCTTTGTGTACTTTACAAGTTTGCCCTTCTTCATCTTCTCCCAGAAAAGTTTCACAATTACATAATAAAACTACCTAACTATCTCAAGCAGTAACTCTGAAAGTGGAAAAAAAATACATACCCAATACAGTGCAACAATGGTGAGAAAAACAGTGCCATGAGATGTATAAGATGGGAAAAATACTTCATTTTGAACCAGCCTAAAACAAGTGTCCACTAACAAACAAGAATATCCATATGAAGCTTAAATGGAAGTTATAAACTCAGACATTTTGCTATACCACATCAGTTTCCCAGATGTTATATGCTAACCCAACTTATTCACTCTTTAAATTTGAGGCTACTTTGCAATTACCTGATAACCTAAAAAGAATTAACCAATAGTTTAACAATAGAGATCTTGAAAGAAAGAGAGAAAAAGTTGGGAATCCTGAAGAAAATGAGTTAATCAAAGGAATTAACTTTTCAAACCTTTAATAAATTATCAATAAACAGAGAAACTTTACCCAAAGTATCTCAGAGAAAAAAACACACCACGTCAGGACTCTAGTTATCCCGAGCTTCTAGGTCCCATCTGCCCATGAATTTGTTGGGACGCATGAGATTTGACCCCCCGGGTACTGAATAAGCAAAATGCCCCATATGCAAGGCAAGCAAAAGTACTTTGCTTCAAATTTTGTACCATAATAAACTAAACAGCATACAGTTTGCACACAACTGTCCACAATCAACTTCTAACAGGTTTCATCGATGACAATAAAATGTATGAAAATAAAGCCACCATGTGAAAGTACTACAAGATTAACCCTTTCACCTCAGGTAAGTCAAAGAGCACATGTCACAACCTTTCACAGAGTTATATTCAAAATTTAATCAAACTATTTTATTATCAAAGTATATAAATGAACTTAGCATCTGAATATAGATAATAAATCAAAGTTTAGTATTATTTAAGTTTAAGATCTTAACTTTATAAGGAAATATTTAACAATCTCCTCTTGTATGAGAACTGTGACATTTGTTATCTATGTCTTCACTCTTCTCTAATTTTTTTACCACCCTCCAAGAAGTACAAAATTTAATTTAAATTACTCATTATAATGTTTTCATCATTCAGGCAAAGCATAATTTACATAACCTACAATCTTATTTTGTTATGGAGCAATAAAATAGAAAATCAGACTCCTTTTGCCATGCCCATCTGTCACATCCTCTCTTTCAGAACTTACCAATAGTCCTCTCTGACATTTAAGACTATATTATTTATAACCAATAGAAAGCCCGTTTTCTCTAGCAAATGACATATTACATCACATTCTTGTCTGTACAAAGAATTGTCTATTTTCCTTCCTGTTCAAACTTTATTCCTATGGGAAACACATCAACGAGCTTAGCTGAATTTTTAATAGGTTTTGTCGCACAGTTAAAAAGCCAGAAAAATTATGATAGTTATGAAACATTGTTTCCTTTTTGTTATTATTCTGTGTTCTTTGGTGAATTGTTTAATTAAATAGAAATTATTTAATGCAGCAGTACAATTAGTATAGAAAAAAGACCCAGTGAAGTACTTCATTTCTTGTTTTTCATGTGTATTCTTTATTTATTATTATAAAAGTAACTAAAGTGTAAAAATTTAAAAATTCTTAGGTTAGCTAAAGTAAAATAAATAATAAAATTTAAAATAATAATAATATTATGAGGTACATTCGCAAGTAGACTGTGCATTATGTAATTCGATACTGTAATGTAAGCTGCACATTCACTGTGTGATTTGCAAGTTATATGCCACGAATAATAATCTGACATGGTTAAAAGGGCAATAAAACAATAAGATTTAAGTATAAATAGATGTATACTGTTAAAAGCTTTAAGTAACTTAGGATAAACAATTGTGGTTTTCTGTACAATTTGCAGTCATATAGGTGAAATTAAATCTATAATTATTTCCTAATTTTTTATGGTGGTTATAAGGTTGGTCATATCAACCAACCTTATATAGGGTTAGGATAAAGAAAATAACACATAATAAATAATGTTCTTCTGAAAAAATATATATATATTTATTTAGAAGGTTTTAGGGGTTATGCAAGTCATATTTGGAAATATTCAGATGAAGAAAAGTATACTTAATCTTATCATGAAAACTGCTTTGCACTCATAGAGGAACAACATGCAGTGTAATTTGTAAATAAAGTTTTTCAGTGAATATTAACATGCCCTTTTCCACTTGCAGAAGGTAAACAATGTAGTATACATTGTTAATAAAGTTTTTCACTGACACTGAAGTGCTTTTAATTCTGTTTTTTTTTTATTTATTAAATTCTACCTATGGGACCCTAGAGAAAATCCTGCATGTTAGTCCTAACTAACTAAAGCCTATAAAAGGACTCTAATCAAAACATGATGGAAAAGACAAACACAAACCATATTTCTTAATACATACATGCACACACATGTATATAATTCTGCAATAATGGAAGCTGAAAGATTTCAATTTTAAAGAAAGAAAAAACAGTGATAAAGTCACATCTGAACAGACATGATTTTGAAAAACAAGTGATAACTCTAACAATCCTCACTGCAATATTTTTCCTATACCTAGAAATTAAGCTAATAGGAGTAGAAAGTTTAATCCATAGTGTAGGGAGGATGCAAGAAAATAACCAAATGACAAAGTAAAAATAAGGTTGTTTATGTCAACAGAGAAGTCCAAGCCTCCAAATAATCAAACATAAGAGATGGGAAAACACTTGACAAGAAAAGAAGTTTTAAAAATTGGGAGCCGGAAACAGTTCATGGAAAAAAGCCTTAGGAAAGTGCAAGCCAAAGGTCAACTTTCTGAGTCATGAAGTCCCATGTGGAAGTCAATTAGGTCATGAGAAATAACAGAAACAATAAACTGTTTATTTCCTCCTAGTTTCACTCAATCTGATATACTGTTTCTCTTCAAACCCAGAAAATACATAATTTAATTTACATAGAACACTTTATATTATAAATACAGTACATTTAGTTTTTAGGAACTCAAGACTTAAATTTTTAAAAATATATTTTCTACTGTAAGTTATCATGATAAAAGTATAGTTAATAATCAGTAACACACTGTCAACACTTTTCTGCTTTACACTATGTGTAATTTGAATTATATTCAACTTTTTTACATGTGAGATGGGTATTTACAAAGTTTTCAACATTAGGGTACCTTGGTTAGTACCATTTAACAAATAAAACACACCACTTCTTACACAATAAACAGTATAAAATAAAACAGGGATCATATTACCCTTTTAAAAAATTGTGTTGGCCAGCAAAATTAAAAAGAAAACAACATTATGCTCAAAAATAGAAAGAATAGCTCTAAATTTATTATTTTAGTAAGTAACTTCTTAGTTGTAGACAATGAACCACCATTATGATGTTGCTTAGTGAACTACTAAATCAACTTCAATCAACCACAAGTTCTGCCCAATGTGCTACTTATACTCATGCATAATTTATTGTATGGTCCTTATGCAAAGACTCAATATTTTCTTTATTGCTTCAGAAAATTTCTTTTAAATGTTGATTACACTCTTTTTGACACCTAAATAAATATCTCAGTTTTCAATTTAATCATTCTTTCCATTGTTTTCACACACTGTATTTAAATTATTCAGTTATATATTTGGTCTCCTGCTCTTCCAATATCATTCTAAATTTCAGAGTTTTTTAAAAAAATTTTCATTATTTAAATGCCAAAAGCCCATAAATATTATAAAACTGCAGACCTAAAAATTGTTATAAAAACAAGTTAACTGCAGATTTTTTCCCCACAATAACTTTGTTTTGTTCACATTCCCCTTAACTTCATCTAATTTTTTCCCCACAATAACAAATTATGAGGAATGTGAACAAAACAGACCATTTCAGTTGAGTTGTTTTTATAACTTTCATTCTTTTCTTTTTTTAAATCATTGTTGATGAATACATTTTTACGGCTCTAACTATTTTAATGTCAGTACCATTGATAACACAATATTTATTCAGCTTTCAAGAATTGGAGGGGGGAAGGAGGTAACAAATGGCTCAAAATATCACTGAAAAAACAAAACAAAAAACAAAAACTTTGGTGATCTTTTCGAAATTTACAAATAACTTGAAACAACTCTTTATGTATTAAGTTCCATAGCAGAAAGGAGATTGTTGATATTTAATCTTTTACAAAATATCAAGGAACAACAATACCTCTTCTCCCTTTCATAGTCAGTTTTTTTAGAAGGTCAACTGCTTTAAATCAAATTTATTACCTTAAAAGGATGCTTTTAATATTGTAGTACTTAATAATACTGTGGTTTTAATAATGTAAAAGGCAGCTTCAAACTAATATTTAAAAAATTTCTAAGAGAGCTGAAATAATTACTTATATTTATTTACAATATTAAGGTAATTTGTATTGCTGACTGTAAGGTAAAAAAAATCCTGCTGTTTTACAAAAGGATTTAGCTCACTTGGTGAGTCAGGTGAATAAATGGCAGATGCCTTTTAATTATAATAAATGCAAGGTAATGCATGTGGGTTATCAGAACTTGAATTATAATTTTGATGGGAATAACCTTAACATTGTTTTCAAGGAAAAGAATCTTGGTGTTCTGGTTGATCGTCTCCTTAAGTTATTCAAACAATGTACTGTTGCAAGTGGTAAAACAAATAGGATTTTAGGTTGTATCTACAGAAGTCTAAAGAAATTATAATTTCAATGTATAAATCACTGATTAGCCTACATTTGGAGTATTATGTTCAGTCTTGGGCTTCTTAAATTAAGACAGACATTGAATTGTTGGAAAGGTTTCAGAGGAGGGTTGGGTTACTAGGATGATACCAGGGATGAAAAGGTTGTCATATAAGAACACATTAAGATCTCAAATTCTTTTCTCTTGAAGAAAGAAGAAAGGAGAGTTTGAGGGGATCTAATTGAGGTGTTTAAGATTGTTAAGGAAATTGAAAGTTTTGATGCCTCATTTTTATACATACTAAACAGTGAGAATAGTAGGACTAGTGGACACAAATATAAATTTCATTTAAATGAAGGCTTGATAAATATTTGAATGTTAAGGGTTGGTTCTGAGTTTTGTGGTTTTTTTTTCAATAGTTTAGTGGATGGGACAGCCTAGACGGACCAACAGGTCCATTTTTGTCCTTAAATGTTATGTTACTGGTAAGATAATGTACAAGAAGAACCAACATAAAGGTAAATCTTACATTAGCTTTTATGTACTTTGTTATAAAATATCGAGAAACAGAAAATATTACCTCCTCTTCTTTTACTTGTAAGGTAACAATCTGTGAGCCATCCTTGGCTGAGTCTTTATCAGTTGCAGATAGACTTTCTTCTTTCTTTTCCTCCTCACCATCAAATTCATTACTGTTGTCATTATTTTTAGCAATATCATCAACTATAGGAACAGACTTTTCCTTAGAGAGATAAAGTGATGGTATCGAGCCAGTCTTTAAGTTTCTCTTGAAATTTACAAAATCTTTTGGCTTAAAATGTAAAGAACACACTCTAGTTTGGTCAGTTATCTTAGAATCATCTATGCCAAGCAAGTCAATCCATTGATCCCTTAAAAATTCATCTTTGGGCAAAGGATGAAAAGTTAACCCTGAACTTAATTCGGAGATGCTCTTACATGAACTTGCAGCACACACTCTCATTTTAAAGCTTTTTGAAGTATTATATATCTCAGAATATGTCAGTACTTCTTTAGAACAACCTGAAAAATTGAAATTTATACAAGTTAATTAAAGTTCAAATAAATAAATACGTAATAATTATATATTCTCTAGATCTGCCTTTATAAATTGATATGTTGTTTAGAGTTAGCATGAAATTAAAAACATGACAAAATTAGCACAGTTCAATTTATTTGTCATAATGAGAGAACATTAAAAAAAAGTGACAACTGTATGCATAACACCTGTATGTAGTATAAAGCAATGTGTAGTTTGAAATTAACAAGTAGACAGATAAGAGCTATATGTTACAATTCAAAACCCAATAATAGTAATCAAGTATCATCATTATATACATTATATATATATATACACACACACGTACATACAAGCCCACAGATTATGTAAAGTTTGAGGAACCTTAGAAATAAATTCACTACCAAGTTGCTTTTTTACGAGTTGCAATCTCAATCTCTTAATATTTTGATTCTTATCATTCACTTTAGTTAGATCTCAAAATAACTTGAATGAACAATAACAATGTATGTAATTTTCAACAAAAAATAGTTTTTTTACTGCTTTCACGCTCATGTTTGTAGTAGAATTGACATACATTGTAAAGAGCAAGAATATCTACATTGATAATTGATGATAAAAACCCTATAACCCAAGCGCTTATGAAAGGTGGACCTTTCTTCTTCAGGGAAAACTGGGATAGATTGATAACTAATACTTTACTGCTGAATTCTAGCTTTTAAAAAAATAGAAAAAGTTTGAAACTACATTAGAATTTTAAGTCCAAACTTTCCTGAATGTGAGAGTAAGATTTAAAGATGGGATCATGTGATTTTTCTTATAATGTCTAGTTACCAATATATAACAATATTACGTATGAAGTTTCGTTCTAGCTATTTGAAAATGCTCAACTTCTAAAAGTTCTGTAAGTACTATTATGTGTGTGTGCATATATATATATATATGAGTATTTGTGTTCTTACAAGTATATTGAATACTTTCAGTATAGGAAAATTATAACTTCTGACAAGGTACCTTACTTCCACTCACATACATAGCTAGAATCCCTCACTGAACTGGTGGAGGGACCAGCGCAAGGGAGAAAATAGAAGCATCCAATGGACACCCCCAAGAGGGAACCCTCTAATAACAGGACAATACATGAGAGATTGTAATGCTTCTGAACCAGATATACTCTTAGCCCAGATGTGGAAAAGGTGAGACTGATCTAGGTGGACAAATGAGAGGAGCACATCCCAATGTGAGTAAAAGAAGGAAGTGCTCCAAGGTGTAGAGTGGCTAGGGCACAAGGACCATACATGGCAAGTCAACTGCATTCAAAAATCGACTGCTGGGAACCAGCATCCACATGGGGGTAGGATAAGTATCATATCATCGGTAAGTCAATTACAATCCAAAACTCAACCACTGGGAACCAACATCCATGTGGGGGGTAGGATAAGTATCATATCATCGCTAAGTCAACTACAATCCAAAACTCAACCACCGGGAACCAACATCCATGTGGGGGGTAGTATAAGTATCATACCATCGGTAAGTCAACTACAACCCAAAACTCAACCACTGGGAACCAACATCCATCACACAATAGCCATCACCTTTCGACAAACAAAGAGGAACCCATTGCTTATAGTCATTTGTCCAGCATAAGTAACATCTTGCTGTTCCACACCAGACAAAGTGGAAGTTACATTAACTTGAGAATTCATAATGTGGTAAACAAAATGCCCACAAAATCGCTGGTGCAGAACCATTTTGAAAATTACATTTCAAAATAAAGTTTCCACAGCAATGGATTTGATGTGAAGATACTGTTACAAGAAAAAAATGCCTCTGTCAGTGATACTCACGAGCAAGAAAAAAAAAAAAGAGAGTGCCAAATTGCATGCTAATTTGCATGCAACATTGCAGCAATATCATATGGAAACACGTGAATTTAGGTGGGAGCCTCCAAACTAGTGGTAAACAAAAAGTGCTTGCATACAGAGGGCAGCACTGAATTGAGAAAATTATATGTGAGAGGAGGTTACCTACTCTATCAGAAGCTATTGTACACCTCAATGTAATTTTTTGTTCTTGTGTAGTGTTGGTGTATTTTAAGCCAGCTAGTTTAACTTAGCATTTTAATTTTTTTAGGGGGATGGATAGAAGGCATTTCTTAAAATTGTGGACAATATTTTTAATTCATGATTTTATATTCTTATAAACTTTTTCATATTGCATAAGATTATACTAAATAAGGTCAAAACAATGAAATCTATGAAATGTCATGTCTGACTTGGGGTAGAGGCCTCATACACTAATTAAATATGCTGGGAAAATACTGAACACCTTTTGTTTGTTTTTGAAATACCTTACACCATGTACAATCTTTCATAAATAAAACTTCTGATTCTTACTAGGCCTCTATGAAAGTTTAGTTACCCTAGAAAATGTTATTTTTAATATACAGTTATTTCAAACATAAAGTTTTCTTTATAATCACCTCTCACCTCCAATGAATGTAAGATGTCCCTTGGTTCTGTATTGCCTCAGCAGTAAGAAAGTATTACTTTTACTTGAGCAAGAACATCAACATAAAATTAATAAATCTGAAAGAGGAATTTATTATAAAATATTTTTAAGTTTATACATATCATTACAAACAGTTGTGTCTAATCTTTAAGAGTGGCAATAAAATAAGAAAGCCTATTCATGGAAACTTTTTTGTCCTTTTGTAATAAACATTGTGTTATGTAAAACTCAGATCTTATCACCTTAAAGATGTTACCATAACTAATAAACTTAAAATAAGACCCAAAACTCGAGCACTTTCGAATATGTTGCATACACAAGTTTTATTATGATTTACACTCAAATACCAAACAGTGGAATTCACTTTTGTATACATTAAACCAATGTTTTTCAAACAACATAACAATTTACCCTTAAAGTAAAAATGAAAGATTTCAAGAACTGAGATTTGCGACTCTTTTTATGTTTTTCAAGTTTTAATCTAACTTCAGCTTTCAGGTAAAAATAACAAAATAATAAGCCATAAGAATTTTAATGTTCAATTTTAACTAAAAAGTGTAAATTAATTAAAAAATGAAACACTAAAACAGCTAAGTCATAAGATATAAATTAAAAGTCTTATGACTGGAACTAGTACTTTGGTAAGTTAGTAATACTAATACTAGTAATAGTTATAGTGAAATGGTAATAGTAATAACAGGCTAGCACTCATGAACTTGGCTCGAACTTTGACGGAATATAATATACGCACAAAAGTTTTCATTATTATTATTAATTAGGTACTTACCACAAATCAAAGGTTTTTCGATTTATTTTTGAACTTGATGATGATGAGATGGTTTGCTAAAGAAGAAGGTATGAAGAAAATAACATTTAAAAATGATTATTTACATCATACAATTATAGCTCGAACTAAGATTAGGCTACACTTCGCACCATAAGTATTTTGTCTCGATACCGCGCAAAGTATGCAGTGTAAAGCACAGGACAAAAATTTTAAATTTTAAAACAATAACAATGACACAGTTATTTACTTTATGAAATAATTTTGAAGATTACGTAATTCCAAGGAAGTTTATTTTTACTACGCATATAATCTTTTTTTTTTTCATGAATGTTACTCAATAAAAGTTGACAAAACATATATCATCCAGTATATTATTTAAAATTCTTATTGGTTAATGAAACTAGAAAGTGATGCTAATTTTCTCTTAAAGATGCTTTTCACCCCACCCGTGGGTCGGCGATAAGCTTAAGGATTTACAATACTAAAATCTGGGGTTCGATTCTTCGCGGTGGAAAGAGCTTAGATAACCTAACTCACTTCATAACATTGTTGTACAAATACAATTCACTGTAATACATACGTCCACGGTGAGACAGTGGTAAGTCTACGCATTTACGATGATAAAATCCGGGGTTCGATTCCTGGCGGTAGACACAGCCGATAGTTCAATGTGGTTTTGCCCTAAAATAACTATACCTGTAATGTATACAATACCACCAATATAAGAGGTTGTATAAAAATCTGATTATTCTGTTAAATATCTGGCAAAGTAGTGAATAACCTAGTCACAAAAGATAGTGTCGGCTACTTTATTGATGTCTTATGGCAATTTATCAAACATTGGGAAAAAAAGTCCTTCAACTTCTGTCAATCTGTTTGGTATTATAGAGAGTATGTGTATCACACACTTTCCACTTAAATATTTTGTTTTTTATATTGTTTAATTTCGTAAAATGAAATAAAGATTAATGAGCTAAAAACAGTATTTTTGAAATGTACTTTACCTAAAGTTTAAATTGTTAAGCACAAAGCTACACTATGAGTTATCTGTACTTTGCCACCACATGTATCAAAACCAAATGTTTAGCATTATAAAATACCTCTGTTTTACTTCTAAGCAACCGGAGGTAAGTTTAAACTGCGTAGTTTATAAATAACTATCACATAAATGTAAATCTTAATTTTTTAATGCTGTTCATTTAAATTTTATTCTTCCAAGAAAATTGCCCTTCTCTTTCATTTCGGTCTGGTGGTTACGATATTCGACTCACATTGTGCAGGTCATGAGTTTGAATCCCGTCACCGACCATGGTCGCTCTTTCAACTATGGGGGCGTTATAATGTGACAGTCAATCCCATTTTTCGTTGATAAAAGAGTAGCTCAGGAGTAGGTGATATTGACTAGCTATCTTCCCTCTAGTCTTTCACTTCTAAGTTAGAGACAGCTAGAGCAGATAGCCCTCTATTAGATTTGTGCGAAATTCCAAAAACAAACAAACAACACCTTTGTTACGACAGCGGTAGTCACGTGACGCTGGTAACACGTCATGGGTTTCTAGATGGATCATATCTGTTCCTGGCAACTCTAGTCTTTTCTACGCGCCCTCTATTTTAGTATATAAGCCGGCAAATAAAGTGACGGCAATAATTGAATTGCAGACAGAGAGATATAGAGAGAGATAATCGAGTCAAGCCGTAACTAAAGTGCGTGAGTCGTTGTGAATTCTAACGTGTGTTTAAGTTAAAGTGACTGTGGAAATTAAGTGTATTGCAAAATAATTTTCCTGCGATACAAGTTTTTCTCTTAAACAAAACTAGTTTATTCTTCCTCAATACAACTTTGCAATACACTTAATTTCCACAGTTATTTTAACTTAAACATACGCAATAATTCACAACAATTCACTCACTTTACTACCGCGCTTGTCTTAATTGTCCATCTCTATCTCCGCCTGTCAGCAACTATAGTTCCGATCTCTGTATTTGCAATCCTCAGTTCCCACCGACCGTAACTGCTATCCTTGGTTCCCCACTCTCCCTCTCTCTCTCTCTGCTTGTCTCATTTTGTTTCGTTTTCCCTGGCAGTTATTTAGATTTAAAAATAATTATTTCTGAAGAAATAATTATTAATCTGGGGTGCTCGAAGATTGAACAATCCTACTTTGTATGAATTTTTAAATTATATACAAAATATATTCATTCTATTTCGTCTTGTATTATAATATGTTACTGTGGTTTTCAATATCAATTGAAGAGATGTTTTCCTATGGTTAATTGTACTACATTGTTAAAGGATTGTGTCAGCTATGCGGCGTGTAATATTTCTTAGGAACAAAGGAAAGTCAAAGTGCTTCTTTACCATGGCACGAGTTTAACAGTTATTGGTTTTAAAATTTAATTTTAACTGTCGGCTTGCTGAAACAAAGATGAGGAGAAAAGTGTGATGTTCGGCCATATCGTATGTTTTTCACGATCTTTATTAATTTAGGGATTTATTTATTTTTCATTTACACAAATTATATTCAGTTTTGCCATAAACACATGGTCCAGAAAACCGTAGAACTTGTTTCGTTTTATTACTTATAAGGAAATCAGTTCACCTGAGAATAACACTTCGTTTTATTACTTACAAGGAAATCAGTTCACCTGAGAATACCACACTTTAAGAGTAACAGTTAAGATAGCTCTTGTGTAGTTTTGAACGAAAATTCTTCTACCTAACACACATTGACATTTCAATCTCCTGTTTCTCATGTCGCGGATCTACTTTTTATTTTACACGTAGTCGCTACTGAACTGGATGAATGTAACACATTGTGTAAACGTTTCATTTTGGGTTTACTTTTTTTTTATCCAATTCAAATATTAATATAGGTTTTAGAATTATATTACTTTCACTCTCTCTCTCAATAATTTTTCTTATAAAGATTATGAGAATGTCAAACAAATTCAGCTGGAGCGTAGTAAAAATCTGAAACAAAATACAAAGGAATAAGAAACATATGATCAATATTTCTTAAAAGTAATCCCTAGAATTCTCTTTTGACGCCTTTGAATCAAGAAATAAATTAATTTTTTCTTAATCACCGTGGTCTAAGGGAAATTTAAAGCAATTTATTTTGTTTACAAAATGAAGATGTTTGTTAATATAATGAAAACATATGCGAATAAAGAAGAAAACGGATTTGAAGTTTTTTATTATAATAGTTATATTAGGCAAGAAGCAATCTTCATTTGTTATTAAATATTCCAAAAATTATTGAATATTTTGTACTATTATTTGTATCAGCATGGTTTTAAACTTTTCTCCCCCTGCAGTGATTTTACAAGCAGAGAAATGAGGTGACAGCATAGCAACGCTATGTTGTCTTAACGCCCCAAAACTTGAGCGGTATCAGTAAAGGTGAGTGAGAATACATTGAAAAATACCTCAGAGGAGGTTTATTTACATTTGTTATAGGAAAGAAAGGTCTGTTTTTTTTTTCCAGTTTCATATGTAACAAAAGTGCATAAATTTACTTAAGTTCCACCATAAGTTATTATACTTATTTCTCAAAATATTTTTGATGCTGGGTTATATTGCTATTGATTTTCTAAATGTTGGTTGCACTGTTTCACTTTGAGTTTAGACTGTTGCTTACGTTATATTTGTATGCTAAATTTGTTGCTGTCTCCAGGACAGTGACAGTTTAATCTCGATAAAGACTGTTTGTGTTATGCCCTATTCTAATAATAGTTTAATGATGATTTAACATTGTTAATTTAATCTTTGATAGGTTGTTTAGGCAGAGTATTCATAATGGATCTAAGTTTCAAAGGGACAGCAACTGCCTGTTGTAGAAACCTATAACAGTAGGGGACGACGTTTCGAAAGTCTTCAGAAAAAATCAAC